TGCACTCCAGTCTGGGTGACTGAGACTCCACTCAAAAAAAAAAAAAAAATAAAAATAAATAAAACTACAGGTGTATAAAAACTTTCCTTTTCATGAATCCATTCTTTCACTTTACTTTTTATTTTATTTTTTGAGTAGGATTCTTACTCTGTCGCCCAGGCTGGAGTGCAGTGGCATACTCACAGCCACCCCAGCGTCGACCCGCTGGGCTCAGGAGATCCTTCCACCTCAGCCTTCCAAGTAACTGGAACTACAGGTGCATGCTACAATGCTCAGCTAATTTTTTGATATATTGTAGAGACAAGGTCTCATCAAGTTGCCCAGGCTGGTCTTGAACCCCTGGGCTCAAGCAATCCTCTCGCTTCCCAAAGTGCTGGGAATACAGGCTTGAGCAACTGCGCCTAGTCATTTATTAATTTTTATTAAAAATTCTTTTCTAAAAGATAGGGTCTCACTCTGTAACCCAGGCTGGAGTATAGTAGTATGATTATAGCTCACAGCATAGATTACTCCTCTCAAGCAATTCTCTTGCCTTAGCCCCCAAGTAGCTGGGACTACAGATGCACACTACCACACCTGGCCTAAAAGCTTTTATGCCAATGTAAGAACCAAAACTATCAAGAGCAAATATCATATGCTCTAAATAAATCTAAAAGTTAGCATATTTGAAATCTAGGTATGAAGAGTTATACAGTCAATTGTTTATCAGACCCTCTTAATCTTTTATTATATGTTCGTCAAAATTTTAGTTCCTTTATTTTCATTTCTCTACTTCTACAAACAGTGGCTTGGGCTACTGATGCTCAGCTTAAACAAAGCACTCTTGTACTACAGTTTCTTAATTATCACTAAAGCTATTTTAGTAGTGGACTACATAAAAATTAAAATTATAAGGTTGGGTGTGGTGGCTCACGCCTATAATCCCAGCACTCTGGGAGGCCAAGGTAAGAGGATTACCTGAGCCCACAGGTTCAAGACTAACCTGGGCAACTTAGTGAGACCTTGTCTCTACAATAATCAAAAATTAGCTGGGCGTGGTGGCACATGCCTATAGTTCCAGCTACTTGTAAGGCTGAGGCAGAAGGATCACCTGAGCCCAGCAGGTTGAGGCTGTGGTGGCCGTGAGCGTGATACTACACTCCAGTCTGGGCAAGTGAGTGAGACTCCAAATAAAAAAATAAAAAATAATTAAAATGACAGCTGTTACATTTAACATGCATTTAATGCAAACAATAGCACCAGCTTGAAAATTCATTCCTCAAGTTATTTTCGCAGCAGACCAGAAGTGAGAGTTCATTTTGATATATAAGATTAGCTTATTAAGGGCGCACATGGAGTGGTGGTAATAACTTGCCTCACAGTGCAGAGGCTTTCTATAGTTGGCTCAGGAAATAGCCTAAATGCTACTCTCTGAAAGCCATTAAATTCACCTTGCTAAGGTGAGTGAAGTCCTCCACTGGCCATTAGGATCTGATTAAGTTAAAAGAACTGGGCAACCCTGTCATTTGGGAGCTTTTCTGTCTTTTTTTTTTTTTCTTTGAGTTGGATCCTCAC